GGAGCTGGAGGACTGGACTTGTTAGGGAAAGGCAAGTAGCTGCAAATGCAGTCTAAAACTCTGCCTCAGTTGTTCCCAGTCTGCAATCCAAGGCCTCAAGGATATTGCTTATAATCTCTAGTACGGGTGCCAAAATGGGGGGGGGGGAAATAGTGAAACCTTTGGGAAGGTTTGGCTTTGTCACCTAAAATCTTCAAGATTTCAGGTTATGATTTGGTGATCCCATGGATTTCAAAAAAATTTAAATTTTAAAAATTAAATGTTACTTTAAAGTGTAGCTTAACACATTACTTAATGTTTGGGTTCTGTGGACACCATCTGGGAGAGTTCTGTTTTTCACATTGCCAGTTGCTAGCTTGTAGTGGTCCTCAGAAACTTTCAGTCATGGTATAATGGTCTGTGTAAACCAAGGTAGTAGGAACTGCTGATTTATGGCAACTTAAGATTTGATGTGGCAGTAATGCTGTGTTTTTGGCATTTAATCACAATTTGCTTTGTGCTTCCCCAACAACTTTGCCTGCTTTGCTGCTTCCATGCTTACACGTGAGGTAAATTCCAATTCTCTGGATATCTCCATGAGGAAAGATGGTTAATATACATATCTCTTCTATAGGTTTCAGTAAGGGATGGTCTGAATTCCAGTCTCTGTGAAGATGGCACCGGTGAGTTCTTAATCTCCCTTTTATCCCCAAACCTACAAAATAAGGAATTAACAGATGTTCCTGTCTGTCAGTTTTTACCAGTTACTTAGTTTAGAAAAATACCTACTCTGCCTTCTGAAACTCAATTCTGGAAACATTGCCAGCCCTCTATTTAATCAGAAATAAGCTGCCTAAATCAGCCCTGCAACCTAATTGTTTATCCTATAGTCTGAAGCTCTTAAGAATTTTGCATATGCTTAAAACAGAATAGGTTGTGTTCTCTTTGCTTCAATACGAGTTGGTAATTTCAAGGCATTTGTGACTTAAAAATACAACTAAATGGATTTTGCCATAGAAACAGGGAGAAGAGGCTGCTATAAGCGAAAAAGACAAAAGAAAAATATTGATACAATTCTATGCTAGTTACATCTCTGAATTTGAATTACTGCAGAATAATAGATTTGGAACATGAGTCTGCTTGTCATCTTTGTTTATTCTTTCAAGTTAGTGTGTAGCAGAAATAATGTACTTTTTTTGTTATCTCTTAAATGGAACATAAGTGGAACTTGAAGATAAGTTAGAAATAGCGTGTTTGGGGGAATTATCAAGGCAAAAATAGCTTATAGAGACATGAGGCTAACTTTTCTTGGTCACACACAGCCCCCTTTAGCACAGCTGTTGCTTCTGCTTTCAGTTAACTATGGGTTTACTATATTACCTAAATTCTAAACCATAGTTTTCACTTGAGTGGTCCTGATGGCAACTAGATGAAATCAAAATTAAATGAGCTTAAATGTAAGTAGAGGTGCTAATTTAAGGCCAACTGCAGATATTAATTATGCATGTTGCCTACATGTGGGTGAAACTGTTTTAATACTAGGGATGGGAGAGGGGAGCTATTTTAGGACTGTAGCACAGGGAGAGAGAAGGCTTAGTTTTTTATGTATTATTCCTCTGTGCTTCAGTTAGCAGAAAATAAGCTCCCATTCTTTCTGTCTTAATCAGAGTGGAAGGCCAAGGATTAAAACCTAGTATTTAAAACAGATCTGTCTTGTTAATTATTATTTTACTTTAAACTATCTCCCCCCCAAAAAATCCCTTCACCTAAAATTGAACACTTTGTAGCATTATACGCACCAATGCAATGCTTTCATTGACTAAAATTTATACAGTTTAATGAAGGAAATCTTGGCCAGTCAATGGCAAATAGCTTTAGCCATCAGAACTTATTTGACTGAATCTGAACAAATGGTGTACAGAAATGCTTTTACATATTGTTTCCCATTGAAACATTGAACTAGAAAATAATAGAATATGGTAACAGCTTCAAAATAAATAGTTGATCTCAGAGGCTAAAGGTAAGTAAGTTTTAACTTATTCCAATTTAGGGTATATAATTTATTGGAATTATCTGTTAAAGAATTTTGCCCAATCCTAGGAAAGGATGTGGCAGCTTTAAAGACTTAGACAGGTGATATGTAGGCTGCCTTTTTATGCTCCAAAGCATAAAAGCATCTCTTCTGAATTATTTCCAATATATTGTTTCTAGTTTTTCTGAATATCAGTTGTAGCCCTAGGGAAGTCAAGTGCCAACAGCTAAGAATCCTTGAAAGATGGTTCTTCTGAAATGGTACTAATTGATCTATAGCCCTTTATTTAATATCTCTTCCATATCTAGATAACATCTTTTGTTGATTTTCAGATTTGTATCATACTATGTTGTTTTTGTTTTGCTGCTTTTCAAGTCCCTCCCTTCAGAAAAGTACTTAGCAGTTTTTTATGAAGTAGGAAAATATTGTTGGGTCAAACTGATAACTGACTAGTCATTTAAAACCTAAGCTCTGGATTACCTAAATAGGCTTCATGTGTGAACAAAAACTTTATGTATCTTGCGAAACTTAATGTTTTTGTGCACTGTATTTAATAAATTAACTTTTCTTAAACTAGGGTTTGTCTATGGGCACTTCAACATAGGCTTTTTGCACCACTGCAGAACCAGATATTTCTGTTCTGAGACCATCATCTGTGTTCAGCTGTGGAGTTGATTAATTTCTAACTTAGTTGCAGTGTATCCAGAATCACATGGAAGCATTATTTCTGTTTGCTTTGCAGAAATTATGGGTAGTCATTTTTCCTGTTGGCAGAAATTCTTGCCTCACTGGATCGCAGGTGTTATGTAGCTTTCTGTTCATAAGTCCTTAAAGTGGATTGTGGCCTAACAGCTTCATAGGTCTCCCTTCACAGCAACCATTCAGATTTTTTTGCATGGGGGGTAGGGGCCATATGATCAGACAGATGTCCAGCACTCTTCTACTGCAGCAGTGTTGATTGCTTGGCTGGCTTCAAAATGATTTGGTGGAACTGGGGAGTGGAAATGGCACTACATGGAAGAACCTTGTATTTATGAGTTTTAAGGGAAAAAAACTAATATGACTCCTTTTGTTTTAGCTGGATTGAACTTCCAGAAAGAGACTGAAATTGCAAGATCTGTCTGTGCCAAACAGCAAAGTCCTAATTCTAGAGCATCTAGCCAGTCTGACAGCTCTCCTCCCAAAGGAGTGAAGGTACAATGGACATTTTTTTTCATTGTTAGCAATGGGCAATACAGAAAAAAAAACTCTGAAATATAAATTAGTTGATGAGAATTGTATATTATTGCCTGAATTTCCTTTTGTAGTCAAGCACTTTTTCAGCTCCCAAATTTTGATAAGTTATCCTCTGAACTTTCTGCACATTTTAGGCTATAAAAGTATATTACAGATAGTCCTCACTTAACAACCACAATAGGGACCAGAAAATTGGTTGTTAAGTAGGGTGGTTGTTAAGCAAGTCAGCATGCAACTGGACCCAATTTTACAACCATTTTTATGATGGTTGTTAAGCAAATCACCGTAGTCATTAGGCAAATCACATGGTCATTAAATGAATAACATTTATAATGCTATATAAATTGAATAAATAAATAAACATGGTCATTAAGCAAATCCAACTTTCCCAATGGACGTTCTTTGCCGAAATTTGCTTAACAACTGCAGTGATTCACTTAATGACTGTCATAAAAAAGTCGCAAATTGTGATCATGTGACCATGGTGGTGCAGCAGTTTGGGATGGTCATTTGTGCGAATACAGGTTGTAAAGCACTTTTCCGAGGCTGGCGTGACTTTGAACTGTCATTAAACAGTCATTAAGCAAGGACTACCTGTACATTATAGTTTATTAATTTTTAAAAATATATTTACTTATTTCTTTGTTAGATTTATATCTTGCCTTTTTCCCATGAACCCAATTTTTCCTCCAACGGTTCTGGGAAGTACATTATGTTGAGAGATGGTGAGTGACCTCAAATCACCAAGTGTGCTTCCTTGGCTAAGAGCGAACGTGGATGCTTTAACCCTATTCCAGCACCTTAACTATGATTTCACGCTGGTTCTCAGGGCATTTCAATAAAAATTATTTTGAAAAATTATATCTGTGGTACAGTGGCTTCTATATAACATGATTTAACTTTTTATTCAATATACAGAATGCATTCAAAAATAGGCAACACAAATATGTTGATATACAAATTAACAATGACATGCTTGCATATACATGCACACACACAAATGAAAAACAATTAAAAAAACATATGTATGCCTAAGAAAATGAAGAAAGATCTAGTTATTTAGAAACTCATTTCAGGATTGGCATATCTCTGTAATTCTGCTTTGGAGTCCCTCATGATTAAGCTTGTTCTGTTTCTGCATTTAACAAACCTGCATGGAATATAAGTTTTTACAAGGTGCTTCAAATGCTAACTCTTGAAAAAAAAGTTTCCTCTTTTTTAATACATTGCAGCTTTCTCTAGCCGTGAGGAAGCCCAGTTGCTGAAATATCATAAGATCTTCTGTGTGTATTGGTGACATTTGTGAAATAATGAAGACAAGTGTCTATATTTTCCTCTACATTTTATATTACAGTAGACCAAATTCTATTAAGTTGGTCTGTTAAGGCACTGGGGGTAGAAAGAAAGTTACATGGTTTGGTTTTTGAATCACAGAAATGTTTATCGCAACTAGAACTTTCGATATTTGATTTCTGTTCTACCGCTAATTTGGCTGTGTGTGTATGTATCTATATCTCTATATATGGTGATCAGTTTTTTTTTATTTAAATAGAAAAGGTAAAGTTTCCTCCAAATTGTGGTGTACTGATGATGATTTCATGGATATGTCCATGTAGTTTTTCCTGAACAGTTCTATGTGAAATATGTTGTGGAATATTTGTACGCTCGATTGATTGATTGCCTGTTCATAAAGGAATTTCTTGGCAGCTGAGCCTGCTTTAATCTAGTAGCTTGACAATAAAATGTTTTTCACCGGAGGAACTACTTAGTATACTTTCCTATCAGTCCATATAAGTTTATAAATAGTCATTTGTCTTTTTCAGCTTCTGTTTCCTGCTCCTGGTTTCTAACCTCTACTCCTGTATTCTGCTTCCCTTTTAATGTGAGCTCAACTCTGTTTTCCTGCCTCTTCTCTTTTTATTAACTGGACTTCATCCTTCTGCTGTAGTTGTTCTTCTTCATAACATGCTCGAAAAGGAATGTACTCCTGCACACCCCAAAACTTTCTCCCATGTAAGTTGGAAGAGGAATACGTATTGGTCCAGCTGATGTCATTCATTGCAAGTACCTATTCCAAGAGGAAACTGGGAAAATCAGAGTTTTAATAGTCAAATTTATTTCCTGGATTCTTTAGAAGGATCTATTTTCTATACTGTTAGGGGAATTCCATGACACTGTAGCTTCCCTAATCTTTATCATAAAAACATGTCATTTGTGTGGAACGTTTCTCTTTATTTTTAAATGTAAAAGACAACTTTTTCTATAGAACACAAAACCAGCCTTGTGCTTCTTATTTGTTTACTTTGTCTGCCACCTATTTCCAAAAGCTCTGGGCAGCTACATCCATGTATAAAGCAATGTCAAGCAATTTAAACTAACTGAAATAAACTTAATATGTTTTAGCCACACCATTACATTTAAATTGTCAGTGTTGCTCAAATAATCTGTCTAACAGCATATCTCTTTCCTCCAGCTGTGTCCTATTTGTTTAATTTGTGCCATCCAGTCTGTTCTTACTTTTATTTAGACAGCACATCCTTGTAGCCAATCATAACGTACATAAAGGGATTTGATACATTGGATTACATCCATAACTTCTGCCTTTTGAAGCATTAATTCCAGAATTATGAAATTATTTCAGTAGATATAGTTATTGTAAGAATCAGTTATTTGACTATTGATTCTGAAGGCAGAACATGTGATAAAAGGTTCACCTAATTGCTCAGGCAGATTCACTCAGATTACGATCAGTCTCCCCAAGGCTGTCTGCAGTATGGTCAACGAAGTCAGAATGGTAGCCATGATTGATGAGGGTATATACTGCAGGTGTGATACACATAAAAATGAAGCAGAGCTTTGATCACGCTATTGTGACTGCCATCTTGACTTTTTGACCATACCCTGCAGATACCCTTGAGTTTCCCTAACTCCTTGCGTTTCATTAACTTTGTGTATACTTTCTCATGCATTTTCTGCTTGGGCGAAGACAGAGCTCCAGGCTTGAGCCCTGGAAAAGAGAAAGGAGGAACAATTACAGGCTTGAACCATAAGCCAGCTCTAAGTGGTGCTGACTGACTAGCTCTAGCATGCTTTAGCATTCATTTCTCACTTTTTTTTTAACGAAACATAGGAGTTTTGGTGTGATATTTAAAAAGGGAGTAGTCTTGATAACGCTCAGGATGATGGTGTTTTTGATAGGGAAACTGATCTGTCATAACCTCTTAAGAATTTGGTTTGAGCCTTTAAATCTGTCTTCATTGTTTTAGACTTCTGAGTGCTTTTGCTGCTTTTGCTCTTGGTCTCCCTCTTACATTTACCTATCCTTTGAATCTGTTGTCCCTCTAGAGATGCTGAAGAAGATGATACAATTGTAATATTATATTGGACAGAAATCTAGAATTTTGTCTGTTCCATCTGGTTGTTTGATCAATTCTGGAGTCCATTAGAAATGGCAACAAAAGATAATCTGCTAAATTATTATGGGATTTTGTAAAATTTATCAAGAATGCTAACCCTTCTAATGTGACAAGATCTAGGCCTAGGTACACATAGAGAATGTTCCCTTTAAGTTAAACAACTTAATCTGTATTAGCTTTAGAGGAAGGTTCTATTGAAGCTAAACATTAAGACTCTTGAATGAAAAACACCAAAAGCTTGTTAATATCTACACCATTCATCCACTTTTCTTTCAACAGAAGTTTCAGTTGCCAGCAAAGGAAATATGTGTTACTTGCAAGAAGATTGTATATCCAATGGAGCGTCTCTTTGCCAACCAGCAAGTCTACCACATCATCTGTTTCCGCTGTTCTTACTGCAACAGCAAACTCACGTAAGTCTCAGACAAAATAAAAGTAGTTTGCTATACATTTAATGCTCTAATGTGCTTTAGGGGAGAGAAGTGTTTTTGGTGTAGTAGACCTACACCAAAATGTGAACTGAGCATAGTCTTTGGATAGTCAGGAGAAGTTCAAAAGCTGTAATTATTTGGGTACAGTTATACATGCTCACAATAAAGCAATCATAGATAATAAAGCTACTGTGGGATTTCTAACAAGGTGGCAAAAAGAAGATTATAATTTACATAATCATCTAAGCTTAGAAAATTCATTGCCTTAGAGATGGGAAGGCTACTAAACTAGATTTTTTTTCCAAAAATAAGATCAGATAACTATCATGGCTAATACTCTTGATAGACTGAAATGCAAATTCCAAGCCTAAAAGCAATTTGCAACTGAATATAAGATGCTTGGGACAAGTAACATCATTCTCCTTTAAATAAATAAATAAATTTATATAGATACAGTGGTACCTCGGGATACGAACGCCTCTACTAACAAACTTTTCGGGTTACGACCA